AGCCAACAGGGCTCAGCACCTTCGGCTAAGTGAATGGGGGTAGCTTGTCACACTACCTTCCGTCACCTCGCGCTCGGGTCACATGTCTTGTGGTTTATGCTGTGTCCAAATTACTTATTAATTCCTATGTAATGCCCCAGTGTAATGCGTTCATCATATACCCGCCACGGAATTTGAGCCGGTGCCGTCACCGTTGACCGCCACGTCCCTTTGGGAATTCTCATCCCCGGCCATACGCCGACGCGCCCCGTTGGTCGAGTACCGTCAGACCAGCATGACGTCCCAGTTTGATGTGAACCCCCGAACGCCCGAGCGGCCGAATCCCTCCGTGCTCCTGTGCGCCAGAGAGCGAGCGGAAGGGAGATGCCGGGCCTGCTCATAACGAATGACTGTATGCAAAAAGTCTACAGTGCGTGCTGCCGCACCACATTGCGTGACAAGAGATGAAGAGGGTCATAGCTGACGAACGGCTGTTCCTCTCTATCCGTTCATGCGGCAACCAGATCAGACCTGCGCAGCGGCGCCGCGCATCTTGCTGCTCATGTTCTTCGCCCACTCGTCGTGGGCGCTCTCGTCGAGCCAGTACGACCTGCCGGTGCTGAGCATCTTGCGACCCAGACGTCCCTTCCAGCCTTCGCCCTCGGGCGTACCGCGCGCGAAGAGGTCCTCGGCGTCGACCTTGCGGTTCTCAGGCACCCAGCCGCTCTCGCCGACGCGCTGCAGGACCTGCTGGGCGAAGGCCATGACGACGAGCGCGAGGTAGACGCGCACGACGGTGAAGCCAATGACGAGGCCGAGGCTCGTCCACGACTCCTCAGGGCCGATGTGCTTAGTCGAGCCGGGCACGTCAGGAACGACGGGAGTGCCGGTGGCGAGAGTCGCGTCGGGGACGGCAGAGTTGGCCGAGATGGAGGAGCCATCGGCCGGGGAGGGGTGGCGCTCGAGGGCGGTCGAGTGGGCGAACCATGACAAGGCGAAGGCCGTGGTGTACGCTGCGTTAAGGACCGTGTCGATGATGTAGAGCCAGGCGAGGGCGAGGCATTCAAAGGGCGTCTGCTTGCGAATGTGCGGCAGGAGCGCGGCCGTGACGAGGAGGACCCCGAGGGAGTAGATGTACATGGAGAACTGGAGGAGCGACAGAGAGTATCCCGTGAGGATAGCGAGAAGGCCGTAGAAACCTGTCAGCTTGTTGAAGATGAGCGTCAGGGTGATCATTTCGGTGCCATTTTGCAGGCTGATGAGGCCGAGGAAGGTCTGGTACATCGTTAGAAAACGGCTCTGGAATGACGCGACGTGAGACGGCAGCACGACGAGGGGGAACGTGCCTTGGGCCTAGGCAGCCACCCCCATGCGTTAAGCGCCATGATCTGTAGAGTCGTTTTTCCGTGTCGCGTCTAAGAATTAATGCGTGTAGAACAGGCGCGTAGGTTGTGTCGCAGGTGAATGTCGCTGGTGGTATCGCAGGTGTGTTGGTGCAAATGGCAAATCAAGAAAGCCGCCAGGAGAAAACGATGATGGTCTGGCGGTGGAAGCGGATCTCTCGGTAATTAGGCCCAAGGCGAAGGAGCAATCCTGGCTGGTGTGCTGGCTGGTCGCTGGTCGGCCGCTGGTAAGTCCTACACCCCCAACTCCGCGCACTAATTCTACCTACTTTCAATACCCGAAAATCGCCCCCTAATAGCACGTATATCGCGATATCTCACCTACCCCTCATCTAATAGTTACGCTAATTATATTATTAGATTTAGAATAAAGAGCTATACTAAAGAAGACGTTTTAAATACGCTTTAAGCTATTAATAATAGCTACTCGACGCGTAAGGCCTCGCGTAACTAGAACGTTCCTATTATAATACTTCGAGGGAGACTTAAAGGTATAATAACGATCTATAAAGTAAAGGCTCCCTATTAGAGGCTTAATTAGATTTAGGAATAATACTTAGCCTATTAAATCGTTAAATAAAGCGCCTTAAAGTTCGCCCCTTTATATTCTTAAATCCTTAATTTCGTATACTAGATCCTCCTCGCTTAAGGGGACGATATTTGTTACGACCTGGCAGCTTCCGAAGGGGGAACACTGTCAGAGGGTTGGGGTTGCTGTTTGCAGAAGCTTAGGTTGTGACTCTGAGACGATGTGGTGTCGTAAGGCGTTGCGCACTCGTTACAATGAATACAAGGTAAGACTTAGATTGATCACTGTCGTGAGAAAGAATGTATCTACAAGTCCAGAATGTCCGTCCTTATATACCTGCCATCCTGTCCTTGTTGTGTTAGGTGGTGAGCTCATGTTGGATGGCTCACTGGTTAGTTGTTGGTGATCCATGATGTTAGGATCACGGTGTGTTATCCCGTGAGCCATTCCCTGGCTCACTGCGGCGTCCTTGGTGAGCCCGACGACTCACCCTTTATGTCTGAGTGAGCCATCACGTGATTTGCCAGGTGGGCCCGATTCTTATCTTATCGCGCTCCCTGATCGCGGGGTCGTCGATTCGCGGCCGCCCTGCTTCCTTGGTTGTTACATGATGCTCCTCCTCCAGGCCGATGTCCCAGCGGCCATAAGTAGTAAGTCCCAGCCGCCTGCGGTGGTTCTTCTCTTGTCATCCTTACTAACCATGACAAAATGTCAGGTCGTGTCATAAAACGTTCGTCTGCCAAAACCGACCAAAGAAAGGCGCTCGCTGCTTTGATTGACTCCGAGGGCGAAATCAAGATGCCTTGTACGGGGTGCTTCAAGCGACATCTCGTCTGTAAGACCGCCCCTGGTTCTTCTCGCTGTGGGGAGTGCATCCGTCGCGGTCGCTCTTGTGATGGTGTGAGCGTGGTTTCTGCGCGTAAGTTGGTCCCTGGTGGGGTCATGGTCCTGTTTTCTAATGATCGTCTAGTGGAAAAGGCTCTTGCAGAGCAGAAGAAGCGAGAGGCTGAGATTGAGGATGCTGAAATGGAGTTGGAGGTGCTCCAAACGAAGTTGGCGACGGCCTTGGGTCGTTTGTCCCGTCTTCGCAAGATGCGGAAGGCGGCGAAGGCTCGTGGGGAAGAGTTGTTTGCTCGTGGGATTCGTCAGTTGGATGAGGAGGACGGCGTCCTTCCTCTGGGCGGGGACAACCTAAGCCTCGAGGCTCAGGAGGCCAACGTGGTTCAGGACCTTCAGGAGTGGGGTGCTAGCGGCGTCGTGGACTGGTCCTCGTTGGGCTTCGGGGAGGAATTTTCCGACCTTGGTCCTGTGCCAGGCGATGATATTCTTGGAGCAACTGCGGGCAGTTCAGGTTCTTGACTGGTTCCCATGTGTTTTCTTCATGCCCATAGTTCTTCCATTTGATCAAGTATTCTTCTTGTTTGCTTATCTTTCTGTGATCGAGGATTCTTTCGACTTCATACTCGTTGGTATTTTCGACTTCCACGTTTGTTTCGAGTGGTGCGTTATGTGGTGCTGACTCTAGTAGTGCAATGTGAAAAACGGGGTGAATCTTCATGTTCTCTGGTAATGAGAGGTGGTAGTTGGTATCCGAGAGTTTCTTGAGAATTTTAAATGGTCCTAGTTTCTTGAAATCCAATTTGTCGTTTGGTCGTTTGGTTTTGATGTTTCGGCGGATGAGGTAGACGCTATCTCCCTCCTGTAAGGATGGTCCCTTCATCCTTGTCTTGTTGGCGTACGTGGTCATTCTGGTGCGTACGAGCTCGAGGTCGAGCTTGATTTGTTCCTGGATCTTGCGGATGTTGACCGCAATGTTGGTCGCTTTTGGCGTGTCCGGTGCTTCGCGGCGTTCCGCGTAGGCTGTTGGGTTGTACCCGTAGTTGGCATAGAAGGGTGATTCCTTTGTTGACTCGCTTGGTGAGCTGTTGTATGCGAACTGTGCGATGGGTAGTAATGTGACCCAGTCATCTTGTTGGTAGTTGATATAACACCGAAGGTACTGCTCTAGAGTCTGGTTCGTTCTTTCTGTCTGTCCGTCTGTCTGCGGGTGAAAAGCCGTGGATAGCTTATGTTTGGCTCCAAGTTGAGCGATGAGTGACTTCCAGAAGTTGCTGGTGAAGAGCTTGTCTCTATCTGACACCAGTTCTTTTGGGAGTCCGTGTTGTCCCACAATGTTCCTGAGGAACACATAGGCGAGGTCTTCTGCCGTTCCTGTGGCTTTATACGGGAGAAAGTAGGAGTACTTGGTGAGTCGGTCGACGACTACTAGGATGTTGTCGTAAGAGGTCCCAGTTAAGGGTTCCTTCGATGGTGGCAGGCTGGTGATGAAGTCCAGTGAGACTGACTCCCAGGCTGCGGTTGGTACTGGTAGTGCTTTGAGTTCTCCATAGGGCCTGTGTCTCTCTGCCTTGCTTTTCTTGCAGAGGTTGCAGTTGCGGATCACTGCTGTGACGTCCTGTCTGGTTCCTTTGAAGTCGTGATGTTTTCTGAGTCGGGCGAATGTTTTCGCTACTCCTTGGTGTCCGTGGGCCTTGGCCCCGTGGACTTGTTCGATGAGCTCTGTGGTGCTCTTGGGTGGCTTGGCGGGTTTTATTCGTGTGGTGACCGCCAAGGTACGGTGGTACGGGATTAGATTTCCTTCTTTGTCGCTTGCGAGGATTGCGTTATTGTTTGGGGGTGTGGTTTGTTCGTGGTCTGAGCGTCTGCTCAAGATATCTGCCCTGCCATTCTCAGATCCTTTGCGGTAGATGATGGTGAAGTTGAATTCCGAGAGGAATTCCGCCCATCTAATCTGTCGTTTGTTGAGGTCTTTGTTCGTTGTGAAGTGTGCAAGATTCTTGTGGTCAGTGTAGACCTTGACTTCGTGTCGTGCTCCGGAGAGATACGTTCTCCATTCTTTGAAGGCTTCGATGATTGCCATGAGTTCTTTGTCGTGTATCTGATAGTTGAGCTCTGGTCCGTGTAGCTTTTTCGAGAAGAATGCTACTGGGTGCAATCGTCCTTGGTCGTCCCTCTGGCCTAACTGTCCTCCAATGGCGAAGTCGGAGGCGTCTGTCTCGACTTCCATGGGTTTTTCGGGGTCTATCATCCGGAGGACTGGCTCGCTGAGGACGGCGTCGATGATTTGGCGAAATGCTTTTTCTTGGGGTTCGTTCCACGCGAACTCTATTTCCTTGACCGTGAGGTTTGTCAAAGGATTGGCGGTCTTGCTGTATCCTTTTAGGAATCGTCGATAGAAGTTGACGAAACCGAGGAATGCTCTGACGTCCTTGACGTTTTTTGGTGTAGGCCATTCCCTGATGGCTGCCACTTTGGATTTTTCCATCCTGATTTCTCCTGGGGTGATCGTATACCCTAGGAAATCTACTTCCTGTGTGTGGAACTTGGCTTTTTCTGGTTCTACTAACAGTTCGTGCTGGTGTAGTCGTGTGAGGACCTGGTGGACGTGTCCCTTGTGCTCTTCCATCGTCTTCGAGAAAATCAGAATGTCATCGAGGTACACTACCACGAAGACGTCCAGGAATTCTCGCAGTACATCGTTGATCATGTTTTGGAAGGTTGCGGGGGCGTTGGTCAATCCGAATGGCATGACCAAATACTCGTAGTGTCCTCGTCGTGTTCGGAATGCTGTTTTCCATTCTTCTCCATCCTTGATGCGGATGAGGTTGTATGCTCCTTTGAGATCGAGCGCTGTGAACCAATTGGCTCCTGCTAATGCGTCCCTGAGTTCTGATATCAGAGGCAATGGGTAGCAGTTCTTGATGGTAATGTCGTTCAACTGTCTGTAGTCGACGCATAGTCTTTCCTTGCCATTCTTCTTTGGCACAAAGAGAATCGGGTATCCTGCTGGGGATGTCGATGGTCGGATGTATCCTTTTCTGAGGTTCTCCTTGAGATACTCGTCGAGAGTATCCATCTGTCGAGGGTTTAATCCGTAGATCTTGTTAAATCGGGGGCTCTCCCCTTCCTTGATTGGGATTTCGTGGTCGTAGTGTGTGTGCTTAGGTAGCACCGTGTCGACTTCTTCCCTGAAGATCTTTTCGTACTTCCAGTATTCCTTGGGTACGTTCTGCAGTCTTTCTTGCTGTTCTGTTGTGAGCTCCTCCGGGGTTGTCTCCTCTGAGTTGTCCCTATTCGTGAGGGCTAGTTGGAGGTCGCTTGAGAGACCGCTCGTGGGTCTTTCCTCAGGGGCTGACGTACTCCACTGGACGCGGCCAGCTGTCCAGTCAATCTGAGGGTTCCATTCTCTGAGCCATGGGATGCCTAGGATGATTTGTTTTCCTCCCATGTTGGTGATGTCGAAGGTTATGTGGCCGGGTCGGCGAGAAATGAATACCTGGAGGGGCGCAGTC